TTAATAAAAAGCTGAATGGCCAATAGCTAGGCAAGAGAGAATAGGCGGGACTTCTGGGAAAAGAGAGGAACTCGGGATAAATCCAGGCATATGAGAGATGCTAGTGAGACACGGAGGGAGTTGGACATACAAAATGGAAAAGAGGTAAAAGGCCACGTGGCAGAAGATAGATTAACAGAAACAGGTTAATTTACGTTCTAAGAGCTGGTTGGGAACAAGCCTAAGCTAAGGCCAAGCTCTCACAATTCGTGGTAAGTGCTGTGTCCACCTGCAGCGACGTGCTTGGCTCCACCGATCTTTTCTGCCCTCACTCCTGATGCCCTGTCTTCTGCCACAGGTCCTCCAGCGCTGATTCAGATAAACACAACAGCTTCTCCACACATCAACTGTCACTTCAGCAGGAGGCCCTGCAGTATTTCTACTTAGTGTGAGTGGAATTCACACTAATTCCAGCACTTACAAGGTTGAGACAGGAAAATCTTGAGTTCTAGGCCTGTCTAGATTATGGGGCAAGACCATCTCAAAAACATAAACAAATGTCTACTATGAGTACAGTGTTATATTAGATGCTTGAATATAGATTAAAGTGCATAAAGCACACTGCCTCTGCCTTTCAGGAACTCAAGACTGTATCACAACACATGATAATTACATACCTTGTCATCTTTCTCCCTAAGTCTAATATCTATTACCAAGGATATTTAACTATAATAAAAAATTCAGGTAACATTAAATTAATCAATTGACATTTAAAAACATTTTACAGATCAAGTCAATTGGAAGGGAGGCCCACAATCCTCAAAACTAACTAGAAGCCCTACTAGATGTCAAATACTGGCTTACTAGTCTTCTCAAAAGAATACTATGAAGAGGTCAGAAGACCCAGGGTCTAGCTTTACAATTATTCACCTGGCCTTAAACTAGTCGTTTACTATTTCTGAACCTCATGACATTATCTATAAAACTGAAATAATTACATTTAGAATGAAGACTTTTACCACATTATTTTTAATGAGTTCAAAATCAGACTTGTTTAAACAATTTGAAAAAAAAAAAAACAGTTAACAATTCAAATAATGAATTCCTATGCTTCAGTACAATATAAACATACCTAAGAATGTTTATTAAGCTAGGTATGGTAGTACATGCCTGTAATTCTAGCACTCAGGCAGCTGAGACAGGAAGACTGCATCAAGTCTGAGGCCATCCTAGGCTACAGTAAGACCTTGTCTTAAAACCACAAAGAAATAAGATGCCAATAAATTTGGCAACATGAACATCCAGTTAAATGAAATCTTTACAAAATAACTTCTGAAATTTGAAAGCCCCCCTCACCCATAATTTTACATCTCCAACCAACCAAAGCAGTTCTTTTCCCCAGGGCTGCACTCAGAGAGGAAGAATCTGAAAGTGAGGGACATCTAGGGACTGCTGAAGAGAAAATCTAGTCTAAATTCTGTAGACAGGCAAATCAACAGGGTCAACAAAGACCACACATTTTGCATCCAGAAGGAAACACAAGTTAATCGCGGTTATATGTTCAACAGTTACAACAAAAATCTTCCTAGAAGAAAGAGCAGCGAGAAAGGGGGTCGGTACCCTACTCTGCATTCAGCCTTTATTGCAGAAGCTGCAATGAGAAAAGAAACAAATTGATCCCAGTGGGGAAGAACCTCTTCTTGCTTTGGACTTGCTAGAAGGCAATCTAGTTTCAAGTAGCCAAATTTCAGATATTAAGGAGAAAAAAACCTGTCAAAATGCTTTATATTTTTTAAATAAATCATGTGCATATATATATATATATATATATATATTGCACGTGCATTGTGTGTGTGTATATATACACATTTATAAAAATAAACAAAAATGTTGATGGCAAGCTGCATAAGCTACAGTAATCAAAAACATCTACAGTTCTAGATTATAGTGCTTCAGTCTCTTTTCCATTTTCACCCTCAGGGAAATGTGGGCGCTCTCTTCACCTCTTACAGATGTTACCAATCTTCACACTTTTTTAAAACTTACATTAGCAACACATCTTTTTAAATCTTCAGATTAAAGAAATAACTAATAATAAAACCAAAGAGAATACTCTGCTAGAAAATACTTCAATTCCTACAAAACAGATTTAATACCTTTGCATGGAAAAAGTAATCAACTCAATGATACTCAAGTTTAAAGTCCAAAAGTAAGATTATTAGCTACTTTATTTTAAATGGATCAAAAGAGTGAAGATATATTCTCATTCCGAACTGCCTATAACACTGCATCTGTGCCCACTGGCTGTTACAGCCAGACAACAGCTGGAAGGCCAAGGCCCACCCTATTCTAGACAACTCGGAGATCCTATTTGAGAAAAAACTGTTACTGACCTATGGTGAACAAACATTCACTGAGTACACGCAGTATCCCAAGGTCATGTAAGATAAATGAGACATGGATGGAATCTACCTTCTACAGGGTCACAGTTAGGTAAGAGGACAACCGTGGGGTCTGAATGAGAAGGGCCCCCACAGGCTCATCTATTTGAATGCAGTCCTACCATAAGGAATAGGCAGGCTGTGGCCTTGTAGGAGGAGCTGAGTCACTGTGAGGTCAGGCTTTGAGGTTTTAAAAGCCCACACCATTCCCTATTAGCTCTTTCTCTGCCTCACTATCTCAACATGTGCGCTCTCAGTCACTGCTCCGGCACCATGCCTGCCTGCCTCCTGCCATGCTCCCCACCATGATGGTCATGGACTAACCCTCTGGAACTGTGGGACCCAAATTAAATGCTTTCTTTTATAAGTTGCCTTAATCAAGGTGTCACTTCACAGCAATAGACAATAACTCAGACAACCTACTACATAAGGCCAGGCCTGGCTCCAAGTTTAGACAACCCAAGAAATAATGACTATTTCAGAAGAAAGGCTGTAACTAGTGGAAAGAATACTGGCAATGCCTCTTAACTGTGGGATGTGGGCACAGTTAAGTAATTATATACCATGATACAAAGAGCTTACATTTTCTTCTGCTAGTGGTAAAAGGAACATAAGTAGAGGGGTAAGAATTGGCAACTGAGAAAAAAAGCTTACAAACAGAACACACAACGTATTATATTCACACAAGAGAATATTACTCAATAATGAAAATAATAATGATATTCTCACAATACAAATGAAACAAAAACACCAAAATAAGACTTTTGTTAAAAGATACAAACTATATAATCCTATGTACATGAAGTTCAAAAATTAAAACTAACCCAGGCTAATGAAATTTAACAAGGCTTACCGGAGCGGAAGGCTAGTAGATTGAAAAGAGTTAAGGAACTTTTCGAGATAATGAAATGTTCTATGTCTTTTTCTAGATGAGTGGATTGTGTAAATTATGTAAATTTTGTGTAAAAAATGTAAATTACAATATAGTTATTCAATTCTGTACTTTAAAGTTCACATATCACTAAAGTTAATTATAACAAAAGAAAAGTACCTCTCCAAGTCCTGCAGATTTCAAATAGACCAGACCTGTGTCATTCCACACACGTAACCAAAATAAAGAAAAGAGGGTTCTAACTGGCCTGGCATATTTAACTAGCAACTGAAATACTGACAGGACCTTAAAGCACAGTGTAAGCTTCTTCTCTACTTCAAGACACTCCGCAACTTGACCAATGTGTTGTTCTCTTTTACTCTGTATTTTAAGGCCATGTTTACTTGCTCCAATGTGTTTTTATCATTTCTAAAGCTTACAATTTGAAAAGCATTCTTTCAGATATCAGACACAAAATAACATCAAAATCAAGTTTTTTAAAAGTCAACATCTTTAGAATCAGAAAAGTCGTTCATGGACTGGGGAGACGGCTCAGTAGACAAAGTCCTTGCTGTGCACGTATGAAGACTGGGGTCAGAACTCCAGCACCCATGTGAAAGCTCTAACTCCAGTGCTCGGAAGGCAAGCTGGCTAGCTAGACAAAGCTCAGGGAGAGCTTTTCCTCGGGAAATAAAGGATAGGAGACCTGATGTCAGCCTCTGGCCTCAGCACACATGCACATGTGTGACTAGCCATACAGGCTCTAAACATCACAGTAACAGAGAAGTCATGGCTTACAAATTTTGTTAAAGGAAATTAAGTAAAATCACAAACTTTATTCCACTACAGAGAAAATAAATCAGCCAACACATTTGCACTAGTTAGTAGTGAGACAGGCTTCCTAACATGTTACAACAGTACGAAGACCCTGAAAGCTTTAGCCTCAGTACTAAAGAGAGAAAACTTAAGACTGCTCCATGTTGTGGAATATGAGTTGAAGATGTGTTACATTTGTTTATGCTGTGGAACATTTGTTTAATGATGCAAGGACATGTCGCATTCTTCTATATTGCATTTGTTTGATCTGTGAAACTGTGTTACTTTGTCTGCCTAAAACATCTGATGGTCTAATAAAGAGCTCAATGGCCAATAGCAAGGCAGGAGAAAGGAGAGAGAATAAATAGAAGGAGAAATCTAGAAAGAAAGCAAGGAGTGAGAGAAAAGGAGAGGAGGACACCAAGGGTCAGCCACCCAGCCACCCAGCCACCCAGCCACCCAGCCACCCAGCCACCCAGCCAGCTACAGAGTAAGAAGAAAACAAAGATATGTAGAATAAATAAAGGTAAAAAGCCAGAGACAAAATGTAGTTAAAGAGAAACAGGATAATTTAAGTTAGAAAAGCTGGCTAGAAACAAGCTAAGCTAAGGCCAGGCATTCACTAGAATAAGTCTCCATGTATTTATTTGGGAGCTGGGTGATGGGCCCCCAAAAAATAAAAAATAAGACACACAGCTACAGCTTCACCACTTTATGGCTGCTTTTTACTCCTATTATATCAACTGAAACAAGTTGTTCAAAAAAGTTAATACAGCATATTGCAAAATGTTATCAAAACTTCTTAATTCTAGACTCCGTCAGCATGCTTTCAAAATATAAACTATTTTTTATTATTTCTAATGATGTGACATTTAATAAAGTAGTCTACTTACCTAAATTTTGGCTTATTAACATCTCGATGCAAGAATAATTTCATCCAAAATTAAATCAAGCCTAAAAGAATACATGGAAAAACCATCACTTAGTTTTTTGTTTCATTTTCAGACAGGAAAAACTATCCACAATACACTATTTTAAATTAGAAACTTAAATTTATTTTCTTCATAAAACATCTCAAAGTATTCAACAATTAAACTACTTTAATGGTCAATAAACTATTAAGTGCCTTTTCAAGGGGAACAATAATCTATCCCAGCAAGAACTTAACACTGTGGTGGCTAGAGAAATGCTTGGTGCTTCTAGGCACTGGCTGCTCTTTCAGAGGGAGGACCAAGGTTTGGTTTCCAGCACCCACAGGGCAGCAACAACTGTCTCTGCCCTCACCTGCCATCTGTGGGCACTGCCCACATGGTACACATACATACATTCAGGAAAAACACTGATACATCTAAAAGAAATTTTTTTAAAGAAACATAATTTGTAGAAATTTTTTATGTAACTTACTTTCGTTAATTTTAATAACAGAGCAATGGTAATTCAGACTATGGGCAATTAGTTCTGAAACCCTTCAAGATATTAAAATCTGCAGCTGGTCAGATCCCTTATATAAAATAGCATAATCTTTGTGTGGAACCTATGTACATTCTTTCATGTACTCTAAATCACTATTACAGTACTTCTAAAAATGATTACAATGTAAATGCTATGGACATAAGTGTTACATTATTGAGAAATTGACAGGAAGACAAAGACAAATCTGCACAAGCTTGTACAAATACAATTTCCCCCAAATATTTTTAATACAAGGTTTAACCCAGGTATAAGGAAGGTCGAATATTTATTAATACAACATACTTCTAGGTCAGGTCAGTGTTATATCTAACATTGTGTCCAAACCAAAATAAAGAATATGGTAATAAAATGACATAGAATATATCAATGATAAATGTTAACAGAAACTAAGTATAAAGAGTATGTTAAGCACCATTAGAGACTCTTAAGAATCAATACTCTGCCTCAATTTAATATATAACCTTTTTCATTACTAATTAACCACTAAAAATGGACTGACTCACCAAAAATCCGTTTCTACCAATTCTGAAACTCAGTATTACCTTACCCAAAATCAATAATATCATCCCCTACCAAAGGTGATCTATTACTTTTAATATTCTCAAGGTGGAGGCGCCATACTTACTCCAATTCTCAACCTAGACTACTCCAACTGTTCCATTTTCAGACTTACTAGTTTCTAATTCTGCCCTTCCCAGAACTGAGTAATCACTTTATAATGGTTATCCTAAACACATACATCACTTTCTCAACTGTTCCACATATAGACCAAGTTAAACCTTTCCAGTTCCCAGGAGAGCACCCAAGCTCTCAGCTTACAAGCTTTTCCACATGTTGATCTAAGTGATCCCCTTCACCAACCTTCTACCACAATTAACTTAGGAAATGCCTTCTTACATGGCAGTCATATGTTGGCAGACTGGTTTTTAATCCAATCAGCTGTGCTAAATAGGGTTGTATCAATTATTCCATTGAATTGTATATAATTCTAAAACAGTGAATGCTTTCTGTTTGCTTGTATATTTTCTGACCTACAGTATGTACAAATTAGGGACATAAACTCACTTACTTCAGTTTAGTACTTCAGCTGGCTGGAAGTTTTTGGTTTTTGGTTTTTGTTTGGTTTCATTTTTGGAGACAGGGTTTCTCTGTGTAGCCCTGGCTATCCTGGAACTCACTCTGTAGACTAGGTTGGCCTGGAACTCACAGAGATATGCCTGCCTCTGCCTCCCGAGTGCTGGGGCACCACCGCCCAACTGGCAGTTTTTAAAACCAGAGCAATGCAGACTGATTGAGATTAAAATTTTGGAATCCCAGCTGTCGTGGGGTACTTGCACACTGTGAGGACGTGTTGCTGTGACTGGAGTGAAACAAGGCTGAGCGACCAACAGCAGGAGAGACAGGTGGGACTTGAGGATAGAGAGAGGATGCTGGGAGGAAGAAGGTGGAGTTTCCAGCCCAACACAGCAGGAAGAGACATGCAGGAGAGGTAAGAGCCATGAAGTCACATGGCAACATGTAGATGAATAGAAATGGGTTAATTAAGTTGTAAGAGCTAGTGGGACAAGCCTAAGCTATAGGCTGAGCTTCCATAATTAATAATAAGTCTCTGTTGTTGTTTTTTTGTGAACTGGCGGCCCAAAGAAAAGCCTGACCACACCCAACATGTATTTGAAATAAAATAACCAAGTAAAACTCAGAATTTAGTTCATAATTTTAAGAACTAAAGAAAAAATGACTTGCATTTCTAGACACATTAACACTAAGAAATAACCCAAACTACTCAAAATGACAGCCGACAGCATCACCCCAGGGCTGTCTTCACTGAGTGAGTTCATTATCAGGACCAGGCTTTGGGTGTTAAGGGGTTGTATCCCTATGGAACTTCTGTGACCAGAAATCCTAAACTAATATTAGTATTAAGCAGGAAAGACTGGAGACCAACTGTTGTGACCTGAGAATGCTGATTTGAAGAAGTGGGGCAGAAATACTGACACTTCTATAGTTCCAGACACACAAAATTATGGGAATGATTTCTATACAATGTGGTGCAATTTTATAGCCATTCAACTTTGTGTGTGTGTTGGGGGGGGGGGGGAGGTAGATAGATTATCCTGGATCATCTGAGTAGGTCCTAAGTGAAAGTACATGTAACTGTTTAGAAGGCAGGAGAAAAATCAGAAAAGAAAACACACAGAAGACAATGAGAATATACAGCATAGAAATTTGAAAATGCTGGCCTTGACAACTGGGGAAGAAGCACAGCCACAGGCAGGGACATCACCAGCAGCCTCATAAAGAAGAATGGATACTCACTGGGAACCTCTACAAAGGCAAGAGCTGTCAATCACCATCACTGGACCTGTAACAATGACTGCAGACCTCTTCTTTCTCCAAATCACTCGGCAGTGAGCAACCCTCAACATACACACACACACACACTAGGCGCTGAACCCACAACCTCACACATATAGCAAGTGTTCTGAGCTATATCCCTAGCTGATTTGAGTTTTTGTTTTTTTAACTCCAGCTTTTCAAACAAGAACCTCACTAAGTTCCTCCAGCTGGTGTTAGACTCACTCTGTGGCTCAGCCAGGCCTTAACTTGCCCCCAGCCTCCTGAAAAGCTGACATTCAGACTCCCAGCCTTCAGAGCTGGCCATCTATTCTTCTCCCCAAATTTCCTATGTGGAAGCCTTGACCCCAAATGTGACTATATGTGAAAGAAGAGCATTTGGGGAGGTAAATAAATGATATGGAGTGCTGAGGATGAACCCATAATCTAGTCTTATGAGTTTCTTCACAATAAGAGAGGCTGGTTGTGCATACGAGCAGGAAAGGCTACCTGCAAGAAAAGCCTCAGTAGGAAAAAAAAAAAAAAACCTGCACACTCATCATGAACTTCCAGGCTCCAGGATTCAAATACCACAATACAAATGAAATAACTCCTTGTATTTTTAAAAATCTTGTTCTGTTCAAAAAAAAAAACAAACAACTTTTCAAATGTTATCTATTCACCCAAAATCACACCAGTGTATCTTAGAAATAAATTGTTTTAATTCTTTTAATTAACAAATAATAATTGTGCATATTACTGCCAGGCAGTGGTGGCTCATGCCTTTATTCCCTGGCAGAGGCCTGTGGATCTGAGTTTAAGGCCAGCCTGGTCTACAGAGTTGAGTTCTAAGACAGCCAGGGCTACACAGAGAAACCCTGTCTCAAAAAAACCAAAAACCAAACAAACAAAAAAATCCTACATGTTTTTGTTTGGTTTTGGTTTTGTTTTTTGCAAAAAAGAAAAAAGCACAGTCTTTACAGGAAAAACAAAAAACATACAGTCTTGGCTCCCCACTCTGCCGTCTTGGTACAGAAGATAATCTTCCAACAGACACCTTAGGAGTCAACAGACACAATGCCAAGAGTCCTGTCTGAGAACTAGGCTCCGCTGCTCTCAAATGATGCCCCATACTTCTTCAAAGGCTGTGTTAAGTTTGGCACAGGTAAGGGCAGCAGAACGTGGAGAGCTGCTGCAAAGGCCCCCACCACGAAAGCAACTGGGTCACTCCTGGGCACCAGCTCTCGCACATCACTGACGTCTGCGATGGAAAAGCCAATTTTCATACAGCCGACTGGGAAGTGGTCACACACTGGATTCCTAATTACCTTCAAAAGCTTCCGAGGGCCATCAGCTGCTCGGACAGTTTATGTAAAAGCTGAACCATGAGGCCACAAAAGCGGCCAAAGGTGCTAGGAATCCGAGTCTGGGGGTTTACCTCGATCAGTACATTCTTTCTCTGTGTGTACCGGTTCAGGCGGCTGTCCATCTGCATCAGTAAGCTCTGGTGGGCGATGTCTGGTCTGACTTGCCCCGGTCCCGTCCACTCTTCAACATGGACTCATGGCTGTCACTGCTGAGTAGCCCGTAAGTTTTCCCGACCTTGACTGTCTCCACACTGGCCCCTTCCAGCACCACAAGGAGCCTACGGCCTCCACTCTTGCTTCCCGCCCCAAGCCGGGGCCTCTTAGGCGGCGTTATCCAGTCCTGTTCCTGCGATGCAAAATGCCGTTCACCAGGTGGCAACCCCCGGGCGCAGCCATCCTGTCAGCAGACCGGAAGTTGCGCTGACATCCTCAAAGTTATAACTTCGCGTTCGTCCTCACTGAAAACTTCCTTCTAGCTGCCATTTTGAAAGAGGGCGCTTGGAAATGGCCCGTACACGTTATTGACAGGGTAAATGTCACGTTTTAATCAGGGTTTACACTGTCAGATGATTAAGCTATATTAATAAATCAGCACAAACTCAGGTTTTAGTGATGAAACATTCAATCTACTCTTAGAACTTTTGAAATACACAAAGCATTGCTATTATTCACCATTCTGTGTAATACATTATAATTTTTATTCTAATAAAATGATCAATATTCAATGCTTTCGCCACCTCACCCATATCTAGCCCAAGGTAACCCCTGTTCTGTGGTTCA